GGTAAACAACCCTTTGAAAATTGGTAGGTTGATTTCATGCAGATGCCCTCAAAATGGGGAATTAAATATTTGCTGGTTTAGATTTTGTAGACACTTTTTCTGGTTGTGTAGAGTTTTTTCCCATCTGAACTAAGAGAACTTCAGAAGTAGTGAAATTCTCTTTAATGAGCTTATCTCCAAGTTTGGACTTTCAAAAAGTGTCCAAATTGACAACTTTCCAAAGCAAACACCTACAGATGAAACAGAGATTGCATTCAGAATGGAGAACCCACTTCCAGAAAGTGGAGAAAATAAGCCATACTCTAAAGAAACAAATGGCAAACCTCTATCAGGAAATCTATCTACATTGGGACCAGGTGTTGCCTTAGCCCTATTTTGAATTCAGGTAGCCCCAGAAGAGGGCTTAAATTGAGCCTTTATGAAATTGTATATGGTAATCCTTTCCAGTCAGCTTCCCTCAACTTTCCACAAGACCCCAACCAAAAGTTGCAGGTGCAGTGGTATGTACAACGCCTCCACCACACGCTTTCTGTGATTCTTAAATTTGCTTTTCTCATGTCTGCTTCCTCCACTACAGGTAACCTGCACTCCTTCCAGCCTATAGATCCTGTCCTCCTGAAAATGTAGAAAAATGCACCTGACTCCCAGTTAGAAGAAAAGTGGACCTGACCTTGGGAGATCGTGCTGACGACCCCCACTGCTCTCAGACTCCTGGGCCTCAGACCTTGCCTCAGCACAGCTGTCCAGTCAGGTCCTGGAGAACAATGGGCCGTGACTTCCTCCTCCCATCTCAAGCTGTGACTAAGGCAGTGTTCATCTTCTCTCTTCTGCTATGGGTTGGATGTTCAGATGAAAATGTTTTGATTATATTGACAAAGCACCTAATGAATGTGTCTGATTTCTGTTTAATGGGAGATTTATGTCAAACAAATGTGTGCCTTCTGCTTTGTTGGAGTTAATTCATCTATAACTTACTCCAGGCAGGGTGTGGCCTTCATATAGGAAGACAATGGAAGTGGACTTCACCTGTAATGATCTCTGGAGATGACACTATTGAGAAGTACTGAGAAATGTTCTCCATCTCCCTAAGAGCAGTAATAACACCCAGCACCCATTGTTGGACCTATTTTGATGGTGGCTTGAAAAATGAAGTTCTGTTTTACCACACAACAAGCTGGGAGATCCACCCTCCAAGTGAGGTCCCTTCAATGTATCAATGTAACCAATTCGGCTCTGAATTATCGTGAGAATCAGGTCCTGCCAGTCCAATGCACCCACAGCAAAATGACCAGCCCATTGGTTCCCCCTCTGTGGAATTAAGGCCTTCTCCTACATCCCTACTAACTCAACTAGTGGAAAAGGTGGGGGATTGGACTGTACTTTTGGAAGACTCATCACCTTCCTACCCCACAGGACCTGACTGATAGACCTTATCGCCAAGGCACTTGGTTGCTCGTGCTCACCCATTTGACTTCTGTATCGATCTACATCTGCTCAGTCCAGCTGAACTGTGACCCTATCCTTTTTTTATAATACTTGCTATAGTCATGACCCTAAATGTGGAAATCAATAGATTTGCTAATAATAAAGACCCATAATGCCACCTCCCAAGGCGCTCTGGTAGCATAGGGGTTACAAATCAGGCTGTGAACCTTAAGGTCAGCAGTTCAAAACTACCAGTTGCTTCCAGGAGAAAGATGAGGCTTTCTGCTCCCGTAAAGATGTACAACCTCGGGAACCCTGTATAGGGTCGCTATGAGTCAGAACCGACTCCACAGCACATAACAACAACAACAATGCCACCTCCCAGATAATTACTGCCCTAAGTGTACAACTGAAACAAGTCAGGGAAGCAATGTAGAAAAACCAAGCTAATATAGATCACTAGGAAAGGTGTGAGACAGGATTGTGTTCTTTCACCATACTTATTCAACCTGTATGCTGAGGAAATAATCTGAGAAGCTGGGTTCTATGAAGAAAAATGTGGCTTCAGGATTGAAGGAAGACTCATGAACAACCTGCGATATGCAGACGATACAGCCTTGCTTGCTGAAAGTAAAGAGGACTTAAAACATTTACTAATGAAGATCAAAGAGCTCAGCCTTCAGTATGAATTGCATCTCAATATTAAGAAAACAAAAATCCTCACCACTGGACCAATAAACAACATTCTTATCAATGGAGAAAAGAATGAAGTTGTCAAGGACTTTATTTTTCTTGTATCAACCAGCAGCCAAGAAATCAAATAACGTATTGCATTAGGCAAATCTGCTATACAAGACCTTTTTAAAGTGTTGAAGAGCAAAGATGTCAGCTTAAAGACTAAGGTGCGTCTGACCCATGCCATAGTATTTTCAATAACCTCAAATGCATGTGAAAGCTGGACAGTGAATAAGGAAGACCGTAGAAGAATTGATGCATTTGAGTTATGATGTTGGAGGAGAATATTGAAACTGCCATAGGCTGCCAAAAGGACCAACAGATCTGTTTTGGAAGAAGTGCCGCTAGAGTGCTCCTTGGAGGCCAGGATGGACAAACTTCATCTCTCATAGTTTGGACATATTGTCAGGAGGGATCGGTTGCTGGAGAAGGATATCATGTTTGATAAGGTGGAGCTGATATGAAATGAAGGGAGATGCACAAGAACCCAAACTTGCAGATAGTACCCATTTGACCTAGCCCCGATGGCTTGATCATCAAAACTCGACTAGCGAAAGATAAAAAACAAACAATTTGTGATAAAGGAAACAAGGGTAAATTGCTACAATTTGATGAACTTGACTCAAAGTCATGCAAGTAGTTACTGTAAATACCAACAGAGAGGGAGAGAGTCTTCACATCCAGTATCATTGCTATCCCCTCTGTACACAGGGTAGATAGGGACAGCCAATTTAGACATTGGCTTCCTAAAATGAGGTGGCGATAAAGGGACGAAGTGACTGGCTTACTAAGTTTCAAAAGGGAGTTTAGTTTAAGAGTGTGTGTGGGGTGGGGGTGGGGGAGCGGAGGGGGTAGAGTCCCAGCTCTACAGTTTTCATCTTGTCTAGATGGGTCTGGTGAAAAAAGACGGGCATAAGATTCTTATGATTCAACAGTGAATAATTGTTATCATGACTAATTTTGACTGTTACAATTGTAAAGGTAGAAGTTTTGTAACAAAAACAGGGGAGTGCTTAATCTTACTGTCCAGAAACAGAGGACCCTAGGACCATCAAGGGAAGAGGAGCATAAGCGGGGAATGCTGAACCTTATCCAGAGAAGCATCTAAGTCAGAGATGGAGGCAGAGATGAGGACATGGAGAGAGGGAGTAGCTGAGGACTCCAGATTCATGGGAAGAGAGGGACTGAGAGCTGGTGGCCAGGAGGCCGACTTGCAGAAATTGCCCTT